CATTGCCAGTAAATTTATTTGTGTAAAATTTTAACAAATCTATAATTCGTTGAATTCTTATAAATCAATCTTAAAATGATTGAGTACCAAGAAAGATATATATTCAGAACAATATTTGGAAGAGTTTCAACAAAATGAGATTAAGTGACAATAGTGAAACCAATAAATATGATTATGCAACAATGGAGAAACCAACAAAGTGTGAATATGTAACAATGGAGAAACCAACAAAGGTTGATTAAGGAACAATGGAGAAACCAACAAAGTGTGAATATGTAACAATGGAGAAACCTACAAAGGTTGATTAAGGAACAACGGAGAAACCAACAAAGTGTGATTAAGGAACAATGGAGAAACCAACAAATTGTGAATATGTAACAATGGAGAAACCAACAAAGGTTGATTAAGGAACAACGGAGAAACCAACAAAGTGTGATTAAGGAACAATGGAGAAACCAACAAATTGTGAATATGTAACAATGGAGAAACCAACAAAGGTTGATTAAGGAACAATGGAAAAACTAACAAACTGTGATTAAGGAACAACGGAGAAACCAACAAAGTGTGTTTTAAGAACAACGGAGAAACCAACAAAGTGTGATTGAGGAACAATGGAGAAACCAACAAAGTGTGATTAGGGAACAATGGAAAAACCAACAACAGGTGATTATGCAATAACGGAGAAACCAACAAAGTGTGATTGAGCAACAATGGAGAAACCAACAAAGTGTAAGTAAGGAACAATGGAAAAACCAACAACAGGTGATTATGCAACAACGGAGAAACCAACAAAGTGTGATTATGGAACAATGGAGAAACCAACAAAGTGTGATTAAGGAACAATGGAGAAACCAACAAAGTGTGATTAAGGAACAATGGAGAAACCAACAAAGTGTGATTAAGGAACAATGGAGAAACCAACAAAGTGTGATTAGGGAACAATGGAGAAACCAACAAAGTGTGATTAAGGAACAATGGAGAAACCAACAACAGGTGATTAAGGAACAATGGGAAAACCAACAAAGTGTGATTAAGGAACAATGGAGAAACCAACAAAGTGTAATTAAGGAACAATGGAAAACCAACAACGGGTGATTATGAAACAACGGAGAAACCAACAAAGTGTGATTGAGAAACAATGGAGAAACCAACAACGGGTGATTAAGGAACAATGGAGAAACCAACAAAGTGTAATCAAGGAACATTGGGGAAACCAACAACGGGTGATTAAGGAACAATGGAGAAACCAACAAAGTGTAATCAAGGAACATTGGGGAAACCAACAAAGTGTAAATAAATAAAAATAGAGAAAGCAAAAAAATTAAATAACAACGGACAAACCAACAAAATTTGGTTAAGAAAAAACGGATTAGCCTACAAGAGGAAACTAACATGGTGTCTTAGAATGACAATGGAAATCCAGCCAATTATTATATATTGAACTATAGTCATACCGCATAGAGAGAACCTAGTAAGATAAATTGGAATAGCAAAGTTCAATTAAGTAATATTCAGTAAATTTATCGCGGAAATGCGAAATATTTGATAACCAACAATGGAATAATGTGATAATAATAAATGTTATTATCAAATGTCCATTAAGAAATCTAATATTTCAAATACAAATAAGTATTTCTGCGAAAATTACTGAAAACAAGAATATTGATAAAACACCTTGAATTATTCGGGAAAAAGTAAGAATAAACTTTAAAAAGAATGGGAAAATAATAAATTAATATATTGTGAACAAATCTATAGGGGTTACAAAGGCTGGGCGGGTTTGCTACTGAAGAGGAAGCCTTGACTTGTGTTCAACATTTGAATCTTGAAAACATTATAATTTCAAAATAGGAAGAGCGAGAAGGAGGATGAAGTTCTGTGGAGTATTTGAATAAGATAGAACAAGTCGGAAAAGTGAAGAAAATAAAGTTGGGAGAAACCTTTCTGAGCGGAACAAGTCCTTGCCATCAGGCCCTGCGGCTGAAAGCAAATGTTTGCCGACCATAAATACTTCGCTACGCCTGGACTACTGTGGACCCTGTCTGGAATACCAGGTCCTGGACTGCCTTCAACCAGACCTCTTTTTAACTGTTTTTATATCACCCACACCATTTCTTCTTTAGATTCTCTATTTTAGGACTAGGTAGCACCTCTTTCATTCTTTCTTTTTGAGAACTTCGGCTCAGTTGAATTTAGATAAATGAATAAGCCTCAAATCCAGATTATTTCAATTTAGGAAGGTCAGTTTGCATATCGTGGTTTGTTGGCAGCGTACATTGGCAATTTCTCGATATCCTGAAGGAAATACAATAGCCATATCCAGAGTCTATGGAGAACCTTCCTGGCCAGTGCATTCCAACTAGATCTATTGAAATAGTGTATCCTTATTTTCTATTAAAATGAAATCTTGTATATTGAAACTATGTAACATGATTGATACTACACACACAATTAAGTCAAAAATCTATATTTATGGAATGTGTTGGACCATTTGTGTGAAACTTTATTGAATTATATTCACATCACACACACACACACACACACACAAAAGAAGTAATTCAACACTTATTTCAAACACAACTGAATACCCTAACATTCAGTTCAGCTTCTATAGATGAAATAACGTCCAATAATGATATGTTTTATATAACAGCTAATAATTTAAACACCTTTTTTAATTATTCGAGCATTTTCATATAAATTTCACAACCGGTAATTGATATTTCTGTGGAATTTTAATTTATTGCTTTTTTAAATATTCGTGTGCTATAAATTTCATTACATTCATCTATAAAATAAAAACTAAAAGCTGCAAATTGGTAAAACAATATGAAAATAACATTTATAAGTAACATTTATGTAATAATATATATTTTTTATTTTGTGATTTAGCGAAAAATCATTTCTCGATGCATTATATCTTCAATTTCGATAAACATTTACGCAGTCTTAAAAGCATATATAGTATATGCATATATAATCATTTATATATAGTGTACCTTTAAAAAGAAACAGAAATATTATAGCATTTGAAACAGAAGGTTTTATATTACTTGGAATATATTTATAAAAGTATTATTTTATATTTTAAAATAGAGTGAAAATATTTCGTTTAAATATTTTGAATTTTCTAACCTATTTCCATAGAGCTTTAAAAAATGGATTGTTGTGGTTGGTGACATTTTTATTGATTTTAAATGACGGTGGGTTAAGAAGGGACGATTTTGGGATGTCTTGGTTTGACAGCTCGTCATGTCGAGCCGTTCTATTCAGAATAACCGCCATTTTTATCTGAGATTACAATCTTTGCCTATTATATTGGTGATCGTTTGGTATGCTTGTCAATACGTCTTTTCTTCTCTTTAAGGGGCTATTTAGAAAATATTTTATTTATATCCATGTGATTCCATGTAGTATGAATAATATTTGGAAATTTTAAATATGTAATTTTTCAATATATATTCTAACGTGTGTGTGTATTCAACTTTATATATATTAATTAAAAGTCATATTTTGAATCTAAAATAAAACAAAACATTTTATTTATTACAAAATGCTAATATTTCTTTCAAAACACCATTTCACTGTATTCAATAGACAATGCAAGGTATATACCAATTCAGTCTAATACAATATTGAAGCGGTCTGGAGATCAAAATGGCGAAACCGTTGAGAATGTTCACCACTTATGAGTCATGCCTTGCCTCTTTCAATTATTGACCATTACAGTATTAGGGATGTAGAAATAGATTTTAAATATATATGTTTAAAATAGCGAGTAAAATATATTCCTAATTTGAGCGATAGAAGGCGCTTAGTTGATGAAAATAACTTTCATACATATGCATTTCTAGAGTACGGATAAAAGAAGCAGCGATATATATGTTATATAAAAATATTATTTTATTTTAAATTATAATTTCATAGATTTAAATACTCTGCTAAATCGACCGCCAGAGGTCACTCTTCCCCTATAAAAACTCTTTGTTGTTTTATCCCGATGGCCGGCTCAAACCTTTTGTACATTATGTAAATAAGTTATTCATTTTTTTTTATTCTTACGCCTTAAGCCAGGCAGTACTTTTACCAAATTATGTTTATTATATAATCCTAAAGCTCAATTAAAAAAACAATATCTGATCAAAACTATTTTTGTAATTATTATTTCAAGATTTTGAGCACGACTGCATTTCCATACCATAATCTTCAACATGATCTAAATTTAAGCAGAAAATCATCTCTTTCTTTATATAAGATATATATCCTCAAAGTCCAAAACCATGGTATATACAGGTTGGCTTTTTGTCTCAATTTGCCAAAACTGGTATTGTGGCTTATTCTTTAACATCATTAGTAAAGGTTTTTACTAGATTGATGGACAATGCCATCATTCTGATGTACAAATGAAGAGAGAAATGCATCTTTTGGTACATTAATATATATATTTAATTTTTAAATAAAAAGGCATATATTGGATCAAAAATATCATTTATTTTACTAAATTTTGATCCAATATTTGCTTTTTTATTTAAAGATTTATTTATGTATTGCTCTAATTTCAAAACGATATCTTTAATTGTGAAGTTTTCGTCATAATTTGGTTGTTTATAAATTAAAGGTTAGTTTTGTGAGCTGAGAAGGCTTGCCACTGATTGGCCAGGCTCTTCGAATCTTATTCATCTTCTGTTTGTTAATTGTACAGTTTTACAAAATGAATTAAGATGTAACATATGAGGGTGCTATACTAAGTGTTTGATATAAGCTTATAAACATATTGAAGATACTCGTTTCTATAATAAACTAAAATATTGATTTGTCAATTTTTCATATTTGCGTTATTTTCATTAGAAATGGGTATTTAACTGATTTTTTTTATATAACCTTTATACCATAAATAAAAATTGACACCCGGGTTTACCAGAATTCTTTGAGTGAATATATGACCAACTAATTTTGTTCAAGAAAAATGTATTTTTATTTGTAGTAGTGGTGTGTGTGTGTGTTTATGTGTGTTTGTGTGGGAATCGAACCCACAGTGTTCCGCTTACCGGGCAGATGCCATGTCCACTAGGCTACCCTGTGTGTTTATGTGTGTGTAAGGAAGATAGGGGCGTATTAAGATATCCTATTTTTATAACATTCGGACCATAGAATAGGTAAATTATATTGTTATCAAACTAATTTGCATATTCCAGGGTGAAAATTACAATACTGTCGATTTCTAAACGCATTCTAATATAAAGTTCGAAATCTCCATGGAGATAGTACAAATTATTAGGGAGACATATTGGGAAACACGAACAAATATATTTTTTCTTATTTACACATTGTCTGTGTTACATAGATCCTTTTGACATGTCATCGGTTAATTTTCACTAAGCCGTCATTATCTTTTGCTATTTCTACTTAATTCTTTGCGAATATATGTAATTATTTTGGGAAATAATTTCGCATGAATACTTATTGCTGAAACTACTTGAACTGACGAACAGTGTAACTCAGGGAGTCGGTTGAAGGATGGTCTAAACCTTTGGTTTTCGACCGCTACAACCCGGGTTCGATTCCCGCATTGCGCCTTTTTTCTGATTAAAAAAATGCTCCAATGACCCCCGATTCTTGCAAAAGTCCAACCCCACCAGCGAGTACAAGTAACCAAAAGGGGCTCTGGCACATTTGTAAGTGCAAAGTCGAACTGCTTTTCACATGTGTAGACATGTGGTACACTTACAGTAAAAGCAGTCACCTACTTCTACCCACCATGATTATCACGACCTGTACCACGTGTACTAAAGGGATTTAAAAAAAACAGTGTAACTCTATACACGCGTCTGCTGTGTTAAAAAATCCCCAGGTGGCGTCGACCTCAGTAGACCGTGACTGCGCATGACAGCGTCGTTTGGTCACGGTACCTCTGGGCCGGCTACTTGACTGTTTGGTCCGATTTCTTTTTCAGGATTAGAAGGAAAAGAGGAAAGGAAAAAGTATTTCTTATAAAAGTCTCAGATAACTTATTCGTAAATCTATACACATCGCATGTAACAAAATAAGTAAATGTGCATGGCCACACCAAATTTGATAACTTTAGATAAGTTTATACCTTAAAAAATGCATTAAAATAAAAAAAATTATGATTATTTTAAAATTAAAACTTGGCTATATTCTATATATTTGGTCTTTTTTTTGCAAAAATATTTATTAAAAATAAAGAAGGCATCTCCTGACCACGAGCACATGTGCTTTTTAGATGGCAGAGCGTATAAATATTTATATAATTCAAAATATCAAATTATATGAAATGAAATATTATTATGATAACGTGTGTATCCAAGGCTATAGAAAATATATTCTTGAACACGTGCATAACAAATTATACAACGGTATAAATTTACGGTATTTTAAATAGAATTATATTTAAAACAAAATAAACATATACTGACCCACACTCATGAGTATTATAGATGGTAGTGCGCCATCTAAGTGGAACAAAAATACCTGTTTCTTGATTTCTCAGGAATTCTCTTGGACCAAATTATGGTCTTTGAGATACAGCCTGCACCACGCTGACAAGGGCCAACAGCCCGAAACGTGTACGTGTTTGGCTTTTCTTAAATTATCAAGAAAATGGGTTAGCCAAATATCAGGGAACAAATCTAAATCAACGTTTAGTTTATTTTTGTTCCACTAGATGGCGCTCTGCAATCTATAATGTTCAAATGAGCAGTCAGGACATACCTTTTGTGTTTACTACCAACACCTCACTTTTTTTACTCTTTTTATCTCCTTATTTTTCACATAAAATTATTTGTTAGTCGCCCTTGATATTAAATTGTAAAATAAAAAATAAAAATCTGACAATAAACATATATAATAAAAAACATATAGGTATATAAAAATACTACTAACAATTTTTTAAATTCAAAATATACCTATCCCCCGATTTACACGGTACTTTTTTTACACGTTTTCGCTTTTACACGGTTTTCCAAATAAGTTTTTTTGTTTTGTTTTTATCGCACTATACTAAATGCTACTGTGATTGAACACATGCGCTGTGTACACATCTCACGAGGAATCCCGAGCTTATGTGCTGACTACATATTTTAACCTGTCAATGCATTTTATTTTTATTTCTGTGTACACCTATCCCCCGATTTACACGTTGTTCTCAGGAACGTATCTACCGTGTAAATCGGGGGATAGGTGTATATCAGAACAATTTGAATTCTCATTAATTACTATTCATAAATAAATAACTATGCGGCGCTGAGTTTGTGTATAAAAAATGTAATGCCTCGATAAAGGTTGGCGTTCAGCCAGCCGAAATATTGGCAAATAAATATTTTATTATAAATCCAATATATGCCTTTTTATTATCTAATAAATAACTATATTTTCAAATTTTGGTAAAGTTTGAAGAATATTCTATTGAATTTATATTTCAAAATATATCAATTTGATATGGAAGCCACAACTATGTACGTAAATTAATGATGTCGTGTAATTTGCATCAAGTCAAATTGGGATCGTCTGCGAAACAATAGATAATAACAGTCATAGCCCTTCTATGTAAATGTATTCAGGCACGGGTGCCTATTATCTCGGAATAAATAAGCGCTAAATTACTGGAATTATAATTATTTACCTTAATTACCTTATATAGGTTGTTTTTACGCTTAAACAAAGCTGGTATATTTATAATATATAAATTATGATTGATTTGCAATGTTTATTTAAGTACGATTCATTTTATTAATAAAATATTTGCTCACTGAATTTTTATAAAAGCCATTTCTTTTGATATAATAATTAATAGAATATTCAATATTTAATATTTCTGGCGAAATTCGGGGCAACGGATGATCTTAGCTGCTTCTGTGGAAAAGAAAACTCAATACATTTATTAATAGAATGTCCAATCTTTCACAGCTACAGAAGTAATCATTTTTATCCCATCGAAGAAATGTGCGAATTTGTATATAACAAAGACACTTATGTAAAATTCAATAATTTTTGTAAATTCATTTTGGATTTTCTCTTCTGTTTGAGAAAACCAACCTTTCAGTTTTAATTTTGTTTTTAGTCTTGTTTATTGAATTGTATATAAGCGGCTAAAATGTACTTTTTAATACAATATAATGCGGTTTATGATTGTAGAACGACATTTGAAAATTATCCCGCATGTGTTTCTTTTAAACGAAAAATCGAAATTTATTTTATGGAGAAATAACGATAATTTCTAACCTTAGGGATGAAGTATGAAAGGATGAATTGTGAAGAGCTTAGTGGACATGGCATCTTCCCGGTATGCGAAACACTATGGGTTCGATTCCCATCCCTGAAACTTTATTTTTCCGTTTATCATTACTCTTAACAATTCATCCTTTCATACTTTATCCCTAAGGTTAGAAATAATCGTTATTTCTAATTTACGTTCAAAAGAAACATTAGCGGTAAAATTATAAAACGTTGTTCAACAATCATAAGCCGCATTATATTGTATTATAAATTAAAGGTGATATGTTTAATATACAAGTCAATACAAGATAATGTCTCAGTAAACATGTATTCAATTTAAAACAAAAATTTATTTTATGAAAAAGGTATTAAAAAGCATCCCGAAAGACGACTTTTTGAAATATTTGTTGAGAAAAACGCTGTGTATAGATGTGGGAGGGGAGTATTATGAAATATACAGTTAAACCTCTCTATAGCGCCCCCTCTTGGGACTCACAAAAATAGGATGCTATAGAGAGGAGGTGCTATAGACAGTCACTTTTAATGTAAATCGCATCGTACTACGTATTTAAATTCGGGCGCTATAGAGAGGAAGGCGCTATTTAGAGGGGCGCTATAGATAGGTTTAACTGTACTAATAAATTTTCCAAAATGTACTTAGGCGCAAATATCCCAAGCTAGGATATCGCGTCTGTTTAAGTCAAATGAATAAAATATTTATTGGTTTGTACATTAATACATATTTTCAAAACTATAAATTGGGATCTTGAAAAATATTATACAAGAAAAAGGTCAAATATATAAATAAGACTAAGATAAACTTCAATAGTAAAAAGAAGATTTTATAAAAATGAGTAAATATTCACAATATATTGTATCAACACGTTATTTTGGGAATGATGATGAATTGAGAAGTTATTGGTATTCATTGATACATTTATAATATAGATACATTTTTTCTAAGATTATCTTTTTCAAATTTGGATTCAAATAGATAGAAATAATAAAGAATGATTTAATAAATTATATTTTCAACTCCACATGAAAAAATATTGAGAAATCATTTAGAGGCAAAACGAAAAGAGTTATTCAGCAACCTTGACATCTTACTGTCAGTTGATTTCTTTTGCAGAAGATTGAAAAATTGAATATTTCATCTGACTGCAGGTTTCACCTTCTACGCCAAAAGATTCTTTTTTTTTTCGTCTGTTGTAAAAGAGGGGTCACCGGTATTTTTTTTTCTTCAATCGATTTTTCTATCTATCTTGGCATTTTTCTAGAAAGGTGGGACTTTTTTTCTCTACTTTTCCCCCTAAAGAAGACTCAAGGGGCATTTTTTGAAGTGGGGAAGAATGGAAAGTATGGGCAGTCGTTTCTTCCTAAATCGATAACACTTTAGGGACCGTCTCGAAAAATATATTTTTTAAATAATAAAAAATGCATCTCCCTCTCTAGAAATTGAGCGTGTGCTACAAAACAATATTGTCTCAATAAAAAATTCAAATATCTTCACTGATTATTTTCAAAAATATTATAATAAAAAATATATTAAATATTTTTTAAATTTGTCGAAAAGAGTTTAAATTTAGACTCGTTAAGATAAAAAAAAATGTTTAAAATTATTGTTCTAGTTAGTGATGTGTTGGAAGTTGTTAGAAAAACTCGTAGAATATTTGATGGCAGCCATTTCTTCCAAGAAGCTACTAACTTTAATATTCGTCTTTTTATTACAACGAAAATTATTAAAATTTTTAAACAGAAGAATACCTTTAACCATATTTATTTAATGATTTTATTTAATTTTAAAATGTATTTTACCTAATTTGTGTGTATATATGCTATA